GCTTTTTCCCGGCCCGGGAAAAAGCAAAATGGTCTAGACTTTCAATTGGCTTTTTCCCAGGCCAGGAAAAAGCAAAATGGTCAAGACTTCCAACCAAGCCATTTTCATTTTGGTGTGTTTTTGGTTGGGCGCAACCCTCCATGAACAATAGGCGGCTCAGTCAGGCCAGGTTGCTCAGACTTCCAATTTGCTTTTTCCCGGGCCGGGAAAAAGCAAAATGGTTCAGATTTCCAATTTGCTTTTTCCCAACCCGGGAAAAAGCAATCGGAAGTCTGAAGAGCAATTGTTCTTGCAGCGTGGCCAGGTCACCAACATGACTTGCGCAGACCTTTCGCAGGACCCTCGCGAACCTTTCGCGACTGCAGTGAGAGCACAATCGAAATCAGCCGTTGAAATTCGATTACTAACAAGGAAGAGGTGGGTTTTTGAACGACGCTCACATATATCGCGGTTTGCAATTGATATTGCCGAGGTGAACCTGCCATAAAAAGTCAGGCGCTTCAGAAGAGTGGATCCTCATCATGAAATGTTGAAAGGCTCACCCCAAGACCTCTCCACTCCCTATTCTCCTCACGCAGCCAGGAAGAGAGTTGCCCTCGTGCTCGCTCGCGGTGTACCTTGTGGTGACAAAAAACTGTCAACTTACTTGCAATTTCCTTCTACTGTTGCCAGAGCAGGAAGAACACTAAATCGAAAGACAGAAAAAGGGAGTGTCCTCATCTCTTGAGTCAACGCTGGAGCCCATTCTGTTTTCAATGATTCGCGCCTCGTGATCCGTGCCACTGAAGCATCTGGCGTGGCAGGACCGGCATTTGGAAGCGAAATATTCAATATTCTGCAAGGAAACATCTCAAAGTAGAGCACCAGTCAAGGGAATTAAGTACTGTAGGTCTATGTTTGGGATAAGAAGAAAGGGAGTCCCTATTTAGTTTCTATGTTTGCCCTGTCCGTTGGCTTTGCTCCTAATTTTGAAGGACTCTGCAAGATTTGCAGCTTTGCACAAAAAGTAGAAACAACGAACCCGAATGATATTCATAGTTGAAAGTTAAGGAACGAAGTGAGAACGAAGATGTGAAAAAACATCGGGTGAGATCGAACTCTTGTGGAAAACTCTTGTGGGGCACTATTGTCGGAGGGAGCCAGTAGAAATTTGCATGTTTCCGATGTTTGGCCTATTTCGTCCTGATGCCCTTAGAATCTTTTGCAAGATTTGCAGCTTTTGGAAAAATCACTGCAAATATTAGTGAAAAATAGTATTTGGACATCATAGGACAGTGCGCAAAACAAGGAAGACCCTATTTCCCTCGTTCGCGAGAGCACCTGCGAAGAGTTCTCCGTAGAGAAGGGCTGCCAACTTCAACTGTCCAACTATCATCAACATCATCACGTCACAATCACAATCACAATCATCGTCGCCGCCGCCGCCGTCGTCGTCGTCCTCGTCGTCCTCGTCCTCGTCCTCGTCCTCGTCCTCGTCACCGTCACCATCATCATCATCATCATCATCAGCATCAGCATCATCATCATCATCATCATCATCATCATCATTGTCATCATCATTGTCATCATCGTATTGGTTCTGAGATGCAGGTGTAGAGGTACAAGTGTTGAGATATATATATATATAGGTGTTGAGATGCAGGCGCAGGTGTAGACATAGAGGTAGGTACAGGTGAAAACACCTACAAAATGCACCTACACAATTACAATACAACTTCGACATCTTTCCAACCTTCTCTTAAGGCCGCGGGGTGGCCCGGGAGATGCTCACGAAATGGACCCTTTGCAGAGATCGCACGTCGGACGATCGAAACTGTGGTAAAATATGCAACTCGTCTTGATCTTGGGCTGACCCTCTGCGGAGATCCTGCGCATCGAGCGCTCAAACGTGAAGTGAACATGTGAATTTTGTTGTCCTTGCCTTTGCGAAGATCACGCTCGTCGAGCGCTCAAAACCTGAGGCGGGATGCGAATTTGCGTTGTCCTCGGCAAACACTTTGGGGAGATCTATTGCGGCGTGTTGCCAGATTCAATTTGCGTGACTGTCTTCGAGAATCGCGTTGGAAGTTGGCAAATTAAGTGCGTCCAAAATCGTGTTTGTGGCCAAGGTGTGTAGCTGTCGTCAGGCTGTCGTCGGAAATGGCACGTCAAGTTGGATGCGTTCAAGGTGTGTACCCTCTTCAAAAACTGGAAGCTGCCAAAGTGTATAGGTGGAAGTTGCCAAAGCGCAACTGTCGTGGAAAATAAAGGTGGTCTTACAACAGTATTCCACGAAGGTGTCGCGCAAGAGCGTCCCACAACACTGCCCTACAAGTGTCCCTCCAAGCGTGTTGTACATGAGTCCAGCAGGCCCCACAGGTACATTTTGAGACTACTTTATCTTGACATTAGCACCCTTGCGATCATCATCAATATTGTCATTATCATCGTCATCATCATCATCATCACCATTACCTTGTGTCATCTCCTACGATGCTTTCGGGCCACCCTGTCGTAGTTTTTGTCAATTTTTCTGGCGAGTAGTAGAAGCTTGACTTCCTCAACATAGCTTTAGAACCGCTGCAAGCAATCACGCACGCCGCATGCCTTCCACCTACAACGTCTGCTTCCCTGGCCTCCTTGCACTTTGCAAATTGCAAGTCGGGGGATGGTTTACGTTGACTCTGGGCGCGCCGAAAAAAACATATTCTGCTGCTTCGTCTCTTCGTTTCCGATTCCATCCCCAGTGGCCTCACCATGCGGGGAGTTGCCTTGATTCGAGCACTGCGAGGCACCTCGCGAGCGCTCTCCATGCCACTCCGGCTCTGCCGCAGCGATGCCTGAGCTATTGTGATTCCTTTTTTGCTGCTTCCAATTTATCGGAACAGCGTGAACCTGGAAAAACAGGAAAAAGGATATCACCCCGAGGAAAGCAAAGAAAGAACAACATTACGCCGGCGGAGACCCCATATAGCTATATAAAGATTTTTCTGGGCAGCAGCAGCAGCAGCAGCGGCAGCAGCAGCCTGCGGTACCAGCACCCAAGCCGCAAAGCGCACACTGCCATAGACATCTGACAGCAACACCCGGCAGAGGCCCCAAAGCGAGCGCCACCGGCGCCCAAGCGCCAAAGCGCACACGGCCATGGACATCTTGCAGCAACACCGTGGAGTGGCTCCCTGCAGCGGCACCAGCGTGCAGGCTCCAAAACGCACACGAGCACCTCTTCCTATACTTGTTACGCCAGCATAGAACCCAGACAGCAAGAGATCCTTGTGGAGAGCATGGTGCCAGCACGATCAAATCTGGCAGCGGCACACTGCAGCGGCCTGAAGCGACACCAACACGCAGGCTCCAAGGCTCAAACTGCCAGTGACATTTGGGAGCCACCCTGCAGCGGTACCTTGCATAAGCACGCAGCAATACCAACATCCAGGCTCGAAAGCGCACACACGCAGCTCTCCCTGTAGTTGAAGCAAGAAGCCCAATAGCTCTCGCTATCAGGGGGAAGTCCAAAAGCTCTTGCTCTCTGGGCAATTATACCAGCGTAGACCCCAAACAGTTTGTGCTTATGAAGTAAGCCACAGAGACGAACTGTCACACAGTCAGTTCAAACCAAAATAGAACATACGCAAATCTACTGAAGATGCTGAGTTGTAGACATGTGGCTTTATCGTGCTTTGTTTGGTTAAAGATGTTAAAAGCTTTCAACCCAAGGCGGCAAGTGGAGACAAGTGTAAAAAGAAGGGAGGCAAGCAGGGAGACAAGTGGGACAGTGTAAAATCATTTGGCCAAGGGTGTCTAAGCAGGGAGCAGGCGAAGAGGCAAGCGGAGACAGTGTAAAAACATCCGGCCAAGCGTATCCAGAGTAGGCCGGGACAAGTGGAGACAAGTGAAGCAAGAAGGGAAACAAGCAGGTGTAAAATCATCCGGCCGAGAGCATGCAAGCAAGGAGACAAGCAAAGAAACAAGTGTAAAACATCCGGCCAACTGTATCCAGAGCAGGCCGAAAAAGTGGGACAAGTGGAGACAAGTGCAACAAGAAGGGAGGCAAGCAGGGAGACCACTGGAGACAGGCAAAAAAAACAAACATCCGGCCAAGTGCATCCAAAGTAGGCAGAGGAAACATCAGCCGAGGAGGACCCAGAGCGGACTGGGAGACAAGGGAGACAAGTGGGAGACAAGTGTAAAATGATGCGGCCGAGTGTGCTGGAGACGAGTGGGAGACAAGTGAAGGAGACAAGTGTAAAATGATGCGGCCAGAGCACGAGAGTACGAGAGACAAGGGAGACAAGTGGGAGACAAGTGTAAAATCACGCGGCAGAGCAGCAGAGTGTACTGGAGACAAGGAAGACAAGGGAAACAAGTGACAAGTGGGAGACAAGTGCAAAATCATGCAGCCCACAGCACCCAGAGAGTACCCGGAGACAAGCGAGACAAGTCGGAGACAAGTGTACTGGGAGACAACTGCAACATCATGCGTCCACAGCAATCGCAGTGTGGCAGGAACGCAAACCCGGAGACAAATGTAAAATCATGCTGCCCGGGCGCGCAACCCTTTCAAAGGAATAAGAACCCCTCACAGGTAAGAACCCCTCACCTGTTTGAGGAACTACGGTGAGAACATCGAAAACTCTACTCTACTAAAACAACATTAGAATAGTAGAGAGGACACAAACCAGACACAAACAACAAATCTCCCAGCGTGGAGCAGATAGCTTCTCTGCCGAAAAAGAACCTGCAAGAGATCCATGACCATCGCTTGAACGTTAACAATTTCAGGCGTGTAAAATCGTGTTGTTTCATCCCTTGCATTGTAAGAAAATTCTTTTTCTACGCCATTTCCTCGCGCAAGGTGTGAGAGTGCGCCTGCGCCGCTGCAATCGCTGAGGCCCGCATCGCTCATCAGCCCCGACCGTACCAAAGGGAAGTCTAGTTTGTGACCCCCAGACATTTACAGGTGGGAAGATGTGCATAAACAAGATTGTTGCGAAGAAGCGCTGTTAGAGTAGCTCATTGGGGGTTTTGTTTAGCGTATTGAACTTGTTGAGCTTTCCACACTACTGTCAAGACTTTGGGTATGTCACTCGAAACGTTTTTCTTTGCAGGGTTTTGCCGAGATTTTAGCCTGTCTGGTATGACTGATCGGCAACATCACAGCTAACAAACCTGCAGCCCAAGTCCCACTGCCAATGTTGCATTATACAAGGATTGCCTGGGTCAACATTAACTTCGAGCAAAAGGCTTCTTGGGCCAAAACGTTGAGAAGGGAAACGGTGCAAGCACTGTTAACCAACGACACATAACAACACAGCATCAAATGCATCCAAATGATTTCAATCTGTTCTTTCTTTCGTTCTTTCTTTCTTTCCCTTCTTTCCTGTCTTTCCTTTCTTTCCTTTCTTTCCTTTCTTTCCTTTCTTTCCTTGCTTACCTTCCTTACCTTCCTTTCCTTGCTTGCTTGCTTTCTTGCTTCCTTGCTTCCTTTTCTTTCTTTTCTTTCTTTACTTTCCTTCCTTTCCTTGCTTGCTTGCATGCTTTCTTGCTTTCTTCCTTCCTTCCTTCCTTTCTTTCTTTTCTTTTCTTTTCTATGTTCTTTTCTTTTCTCTTCTTTTCGTTTTCTTTTCTTTCTCATTGCGAAGGCCTATAAACGCCAAGATCTGTGCGCTTCGTACTTCTTCGTCCGTCTTTGCTGTTGGGATCGACTGGGTAAGGAAAAACGCTTTTTCAAAGCTCTTTTCTTGTGGACGGCTGCTTTCGCATAACAAATACGCCACTGTACGCAGTGATTTGCTAGCCTGCAAAACGCACCGAAATAGCATTGTCACCGACTCCAACATCGTCATCCATGTCACAACATTCTCGCAACATTGTCATTGAAGAGTCGCGAATTAAAAGGGGTTGGTAGGGTAGGTTGGGCCAAGATAACAATACGCTGCTGGAAGGGCCCTTCCAAGATGATACTCCAGGCACACGAGCGTTGACGCAGTACTTCCAAGATAACGCAACTGCGTGCACAAGTTGCACTCTTGCGGATTTTGTGTGAGCGCTCAAAGATTCAAAGATGACTGGCAGTGCAAAATATTGCTAAGAGCCCGGAACTTGAGGAGGTTCTGCGCTGGTTGGTAGCCACTCGCGCAGCCAGAACAGACAAGTCAGGTTGAGACCCAGAAATTCATAAACCTTCAACTTCCTGGAATGAGAGAGTGTGAACTACTTCCCTCGCCAATATTACTTTAAGGGCGTGACATATTGCTGGTAGCGGCCGAAGCATCCCCACTTCTGTTCGTGATGAGTCTTACCTTTTTGAAGATACGTAAGTTCAACAAAGTGGAAGCCGACTAGCTAGAGCTGGAGAAGAGTAAAATAGATCGCTTTTTTGATCCCCCCGCCACTCGTCATGTGATGGAAATATCATTGCAATTCATGTCGCTTTCCAAGAGTGACATGGAGCAAGCAACAATGACAAGAATCCACCTTCGAAGCCTGTCCTCCACGGGGTGCAACTTCGCGCCAAAGGGAACTTGGCGGCGCCTGAGGTGAAAGCCAGTGTGCAAATCACTGGTAACAGCAAATACGGCAAGGGTGGGATAGAGAGAGATAAACTGTGGACAGGTTTGTGCGCACGGACCTTGAAAACCTCCAGGTGAACATGTCCAACCCCATCGACTTGTAATCAGCACCGATAAGGTGCTAATTAGATCCTGACTAACTCACAAAAAGAAGCGTTAGCCTTGGGTTGTTACCTGCGCACAGTGGTCAGTGTCTCTCAAACAAAAGGAAGAGCTGATGTCGGTGGTTTCCTGAACTGCAAGTGGAGTGGAACGCCTTCGTATCTTAGTGCTTCTCCTTGAGTCCAAGGAGCGCCCATCCTCCTGGCTTACTTCGGCGCGAGCTTCCTGACCAAAGTGGCATCAAGTCCAAAAAGACACATTCTTCTTGGTACTGGTTGAGGTTCAATCTTCACGCCTTATATCACCATGTGGAAGTAAACAAGTGATTGGGATCTTGTTTGTTTGTTATTACGCACATTTATCAAGCTTTGTGCCAGGAAGGTGTTCTACATTGATGACACCGTGCGCATGACCGGATACCAAAGCTGAGTTGCTTGTCGACAAATCATGAGCCTTCAAACTTTTAGTTACAAATACACATCCTTTTCAAACTATTTTCCCATCGCTACTGGTAACAAGAAGCTCAGATCCTATTCCCATTAAGTGCCTTTTGGATCAGGATCTGAAGGTCGTCGATCCCTTTCGCCCTTTGTGTCTGGCTGTCTTGTATCTTCATCCCTGGGAATTGCGGCGCGGCCAAAATTGAGGCAAACCAAACATCCAAAAAATTAGAGAACTGGGGACTGTGGTGGTACACTTGTTTCTTGCTTTTCATATGCCTCTACATCATTATATATGTATAATGATATAGAGTTTACCTATCATATGTTTGTTCATTGATATTAATCTATATTTTTGTATTATACAAAGTCCATGAAAGGAGCAATACGATAATACATTATGCATGTTTAATGTAAAATGTGTGTCTAATAATTGTTTTATACTCTCTAAAACTTAGTTTAAGTGCAACATGCGCATACTAGGGCGTCCTCTTCTGGAGAGCAGGACGCGTGCACCGTTTTCTTGTTTCTCATATGTTTCTACCTTTCGTCATGTGATAGAAAGTTATGGAAAGAAATAGTTCAACTGGTTTATAATTATGCTTTGCATTTCATGCTTAATAATATTGATTGTTTCTAAAATAAAATCTACTCTGGTAAGTCAAGCAATTGAGAAAATTCATCAACTGTTTCAACTACTTATACATATATTTAAAATATTCAGGGTATTGTTTTTGAAGTAGTTTTGTATTTACAAGAACTCAAATTTGAAAAGAATTAATATATTGCAGTATTAAAACATTGTTCTAATTCCAGCAGTATAAGTCAAAACGTTCAAATGTATATATTATATATAAAATACTGTTATTAGGCGTGCGCTAATTTGGTAATAACAGTGTAAACAAGTACAGTTATATGTCTACCTACATAAGCATCCAAAAATACAATCTCTAAAAAATGTTCAAATATATGTCCTTTCTAGCCTTTTATATCCACTACCATGTGACCATGTATATTGAATAGTTTTTTTGAGATAGTCATTACTTTTTGCACTTGTTTCATTCCATGCTTCTTTCAAGCCATACTTCATTATACCAACGTTTCATATTTCGTGGTCTATCTTTTGGGAAATAGTCTAATAAGGATAGATCTTCTTTGCAGATCGTTCTTGACGGCAAAAGGTTAAACTTAACAAATACCAAATGTTTCACTGTTCTTCTGCTAGGCCTTCGGGCTTGTTACTTGGTATGTCCATTGTCTTCGTACATCTGTTACAAACATTAAATTAAAACTACAAACTACCTTCACAATACCATCTGAAAATGGTGAAGTCTATTTTTCCCGAATGCGTAGCGAAGGGTTCTCGTTTAACTCTGGGGGGTCTGGGGGTAGAGTCTTGTTCGCGATCCGTTGCTTCTATGTTCGCAACCGTCCGCAACCGTCCGCAGCCGTCCGCAGTAGGTCGCTAAGACGCTGCCATTGGGGGGAGCTTTTGCAAGTGACTATGCATGGATGTGTCACGTGTTAGTTTGCGACGCGAGTCCATTGTGATTTGCGTGAAAAGGACATGTCGCGCAAGAAGCGTGATGCATTTCACTGCACAGGCGCAGCGTTTTGCGAGATCCGCAGTTTGCTACGCAGTTCCATTGGGATTAGCGTTTGGAGAGTCGTGTTTTTGGGGTGTTGGATGTGGCCGCGCCATTGGGATTTGCGTTTCAGGGTGTGGCATCGAATCTCTGTTTTCGTGACAAGTCTCAGCTGAAATGCCGATTTTGGTGGATGGGAGTATGTTCAGAACGGGTCGAAATCATTCCAAACGTGTGGTGTGGTGCGAATTTTGTTGAAGCTCACAAGAGATGATATTGTCACTTTTCGTCGCAGGCGCAGTACTTTGTGTGTGTTTTGAGGCATGGAAGTGCGATTCTCGTGGCAGGCGCAGGGAATGGTGAGGTTGCGAGGTGTGACGGAGGTGACATTTCGTGGCAGGCGCAGTACTTTGCGCGCGTTAGACGTGTGGGCGCGGAAAGATTCGTGGCAGGCGCAGGGAATTGTGAGGTTGTGCGTTGTGGTAGAGGCTCGGTAGAGGTGAATGTCGCTGTCACAGTGGGATTGGCGTGTGAACGGGTGTTGTTTGGAGGGGCTGGACTCGCGAAACTGCTTGGCAGGGCTGCGTGATGTGTGTGCTCCGATGGGTGTTTCCGCTTGACTTTTGGAGGAAGTCTCGTACGACATGCTCGTTTTGCAGACTTTGACGTGTGAATTTTGGAGGAACTCTCGTACGAAACGCTCGGTTTGGAGACTTGACACGTGACTTTTGGAGGAAGTCTCGTACGAAACGCTCGTTTTGGAGACTTGACGTGTGACTTTTGGGGGAAGTCTCGTACGAGGAGTGCCCTACAAGAGTGTCCCGTATGAGTGTCCCATAAGAGTGTCCCACAAGAGTGTCCCGTAAGAGTGCTCCACAAGAGTGTCCCACAAGAGTGTCCTACAAGAGTGTCACGTAAGAGTGTCCTACAAGAGTGTCCCACAAGAGTGTCCCGCAACAGTGTCCCACAAGAGT